CTATGCGCAAGTGGATTCCTGTCAAATACTTTAAGACATCGTGTTTTCCCAAATGGTTTTCTAATGAACTGAGAAACCTTATTTATTCTAAAAAAAGACTGCATAAACTTTATAAGATAAGTGGTGATCTAAATATATATGACGAATTTTCTAGACTCAGGAGGTTATGTAAATTAAAAACAACAGAATGTAACAATTTATATTTATCAAAAATGGAAACTGAAATCAAATCTAACTGTAACTCTTTTTGGAAATTCTGGAAAGAGAAAAATAACATGAACGGTCTTCCAAATACTATGAAATATAACAGTGAAACATCAGTTGATTCAATGAGTGCATCGAATTTATTCGCTGACTATTTTAAAACAGTTTATAGGAATTCGCAAATCAGTGTTGATTATTCTAATATACAAGTTAACTGCTTAACAGATTTTAACTTAAGAATGTTTTCGTTAAGTGAAATATTCGATGCTATTCTTAGTTTAAAGCCTACCAATAATGTAGGACCTGATGGAATTTCAACAAGATTTCTGGTTTCTTGTATATTTAGTATTTCTATACCAATACATCTTTTGTACAATTTATCCCTTTCTTCTGGGATGGTTCCGAGCATCTGGAAAGAAAGTTTTTTGGTTTCTATTTTTAAATCTGGAAACAGAGAACTCATCACAAACTATAGAGGGGTACCTATGTATTCAGTCGGTTATTCCCAAGCTTTTAGACAAACTTATATCTAACCAGCTAAAATTATCGTGCAAGCATATTATTCATACTCGGCAACACGGATTTTGTCAAGGAAGATCCACTACAACCAATTTAATATTATATCAAGATTACATTGTCAATGCTTTTGAAAAAGGATGTCAGGTTGACTCCATCTATGAAGATTTATCCAAGGCGTTTGATAGAGTGAATCACAATATTTTGTTATATATATTAAAGATAATGAATTTTGGGTCCAGATTCCTTAAATGGATTGAAAGTTTTATTAACAATAGGAAACAGTTCGTTAAAATAGGAAATTCTGACTCTGATCCGGTTGTAGTTTGTTCAGGTTTGCCACAAGGCTCGCATTGTGGTCCACTTTTATTCTTATTGTTTATAAATGATATTTTATGCTGTTAAATTTTCAGAAATACTTCTTTTCGCGGATGATTTAAAGGTATACAAAGTAATTAAGAATTTAGATGACTGCTTGTTGTTACAAAGGGATTTGGGTAATATTTTTCAGTGGTGTTGTTCTAATGATATGGGTATTAATTTTGATAAATGTTACAAAATTTCTTTCGATAAACTGAATTTATTTCTTGACTTTACTTATAACATAGATAATGTAAATATGGCACCAGTCTCGGAAATAAAAAGGAGATGACAAGAATAATAGATAAAGAAAAGGGAGAGAAAAGAGGATCAAAAGATAAAGCAAATAACAAAGAAAGGAAAATATTGTGGCAGATAATAGAAGAAATGGGATGGGAAATTTTGAATGGAAACAAGGAAGGAGATGAAGAAGGAGAATGAACGTACGTAGGGGCGAGGGGAGAATCAATTATAGATTATGGGATTGTCAACGAAGCGGCGTAGGAAGAAATAGAGAGTTTCAAAGTGGGGGAAAGGGTAGAATCAGAACACATGCCTCTAGAAATAAAAATCAAATGAAAAGAGCAAGAGTACGCAAAACAAGAGAGAAGACACGAAAGAAAAGAATTAGAAAAAAGAATATGGGATGAAGAGGGAATTCAGAGATACAGAAGTAGACTAGAAAAAAAGAAATTCGAAGTAAAAGAAGATATAGAAGCTATGATGGTGGAACTGAGCAACCTAATTGTAGAAGTTACGGAAAAAAGAAAGATATACATATGGCAAGGGAGGGATAATGGATGGAACGGAGAATGTAGTGAGTTGAAGAGAAAAATAAGGGAAAAATTAAGAAAATGGAAGAATAACAAGGGAAGGAAAGAAGAGTACCTAAAAGCAAGAGAGAATTATAGGAGAAAATGGGAAGAAAGAAAAAGAGAAAAACGAGAAGAAGAAGAGAAGACAATAAAGTCCCTGAAAACAGAAGAGCAAGTATGGAGATATATAAACAAGGAACCGAGAAGGAAGACTGAAATCAGCGGGAAAATCAAAATACATGAATGGAAAACACACTTCATGGAATTATTGGGAGGTTGTGAGGAAAAATGCTGCAAAATAACTAAAGGAATCACAACGACGGAAGAAATTGTGGAGAGGTTCGCAATTAACAAAAGATGAAATAGAAAGACAGATTGGAAGACTGAAAAGAGGAAAGGCACCAGGAGGGGATGGAATCCAGAACGAAGCGTGGATGTTCGGGACAGAAGGAGTGAAAGAAAAGATATGGGAAGTGGTAAATGGAGTTTGGAAGGGAAAAGGGTTTCCTCGGCAGTGCAGAGAAGGCATAATAATCCCATTATTTAAAAAGGGACAAAAAAGTGATGTGAAGAACTACCGAGGGATTACCTTGCTCAATACGGCTTACAAGATATATGCAATGACACTCGATGAGAGGTTACGAAAGGAGATGGAAGCAAGGGGTATGTTACCAGATGGTCAGGCACGGTTTAGGAAAGGAAGAGGTACTATGGACAATGTGTACATCCTGCGGCATTTACTGGAAAGAGAAATAAGGAAAGAGGGTGGACGAATGTACGTATTGTTCATAGATTTCAAAGCAGCGTTTGATAGCGTGAATAGAGAGAAAATGTGGGAGTATTTGAGGAGAAAGGGAGTAGATGCATACTTGGTAACGAAAATGGAAGAAATATATGAAGAAACAGTAAATACGGTGAGACTGAATGGAATAGAGTGTGGGAGTTTTTATACAAATAGAGGAGTGAGACAAGGATGCCCACTCAGCCCCGCATTGTTTGCAGCTTATCTAGGAGATATAGATGAAATGTTCAAAAAAGCACAGACAGGAGGGGTGGTAGTTGGCAAAGAGAAAGTGTGGTCGTTGGCGTACGCAGATGATTTGATGATTGTGGCAAAGAAAAGAGGAGAAATGAAAGCAATGATTAAAAGTTTGGAGAAGTATGTAAAAAAAAGTAATTGGAAGTGAATGTGGAAAAAACAAAAATGGTGGTGTTTGGGAAGAAAGTAAGAAAGGAGAAGGAAGAGTGGGCATGGAGAGGGAAGAAGATTGAACAGGTGAAAGAATTCCAGTACTTAGGATATACATTAAAGAGCAATAACTCAGATAGAGCGCATATTCAAGAAATCGTCCAAAAAGCGAACAAAGTGGTAGGAATAGTATGGGGAATAGGAGAGAGAAACTTTGGACATGATTATAAGAGACGAACGATGATGTTTGATAGTTTGATCAAAAGTGTATTTATGTACGGAGCTGAGATTTGGGGATGGAGGGAATGTGAAGAAATAGAGAGAGTGCAAGAAAAATACTTAAAATGGACATTGGGTTTGAAAAAGCATACGCCGGGGTATATAGTGAGAGAAGAAATAAAAAGGGAGAAAATGGGAGTGGAAGCGGGTAAACGGTCGGTTGGATTTGAAGAGAAGTTCAGTGAGAGAGGTGACTGCTAGATATTGCAATAATGTTGGAAAGAAATAAGAAAGGAAGGGGGAAAACGTGTTTGGAACGAAAGGGACAAGTATGTGGCGGCACAATAACACGCGGGTAAAGCAGAGTAAAGATAAGTTGTCTTGTGGTGTAGCGGTTAGCATACCAGCCCGGATTGCTTGGAGACGTGGGTTCGAATCCCACCGAGGCACAACATTTTTCTCTGCTTTCCCACAAGTATTATGAAGGAAAGGGATATGCATGTGAAGAAATAGAGAGAATGAGAGAAATGGGAAGGAGTATGAAAGAAGAACTGAGTGTAAGAGATAAGGATATAGATAAGCAAGAACGTAGATCGAGAATATCGGAGTCTAGATATAATGCAGACTATAGAAAAATAGTAAAGGATGAAGTACCAAAGTACACACAGAGAGAGAGAGTATAAAGGAGAAAAGAATGATGGCGAGATTTAGGTGTGGCAATGAAGAGAAAGAGAATAATTTCTGGATGGATGAAACTGACAGAAGGTGTAGGATATGTTGGAGAGAGGGAGAAACAATAGAGCATATGCTGGAAGGATGTGAAGGATTGAGAGAATCGGAGGAAAGTAGGGAAGAAGTGCTAAATGAGGATGGAAGAGGACTGGACTGGATGAAAGAAGTATGGAAGATAAGGGAACTATGGCAAGGGGTGGACAAGCAGAAAGAATAGAATATTTATTATATAACACGCGAATTTTTATTTTATTGTATTTATTTTATTGTTACTGATTTTTCTGAGGTAGAGTAAGTTAATTTGTACCCCTACTGGGAATATTATTAAGCCTGTAAGGCAAATAATAAATTAATATTACTACTTCGTACTGCATCTTTGTTATTAATATTTCTCAAGTAGTTTTTTGTTCAACAAAGTAAAGGATATATTACTGGATAAACAGAAAGTATAAAAAAAATAAAAAATATCATCGGCAAATTCTTTTATTCAAATTATGCTTGAAAAATGGGAAGAAAACCGTTTCTAACAACCAAGAAATTTTTCTGCACCCCGTATATTACAGTTTCAAACGTTTGCTTTTTATAGTATTAATTATTATTGAATATTATTATTTTGTGGTCATTAATTTACCAGTTGTTAGTGAAATGTTAGACAATTTACCAGTTGCAGCATGTTGAAAAAGTCCAAAAGGTGAAAACAAATTGGGTATAATTTGCTTAGTAATGTGTCGTATTTCTGGTGCAGAAAACATATGCCGAACATTATCTTAACCGTTAGTTCCTCAATAAATAATTTTAATCTCGGTGTTGGCGAATAGAAAACTTAGACAAGAATTTCGGGTAGCAGAAAATAATAACATTGTGTTTCCTAAGCCATGAACAAAACGGGGAAGGGACTGAAAAACTCATTCTTTGTGAATGCAAAAACTTTATTTTAACTGTGTGACCGTGCAAAAACAATCAACTTAATACTGTGCTACCATTTGCCTTGTTGCAGATGAGGTTGCAAAATAAAACTTTTCTAATTTGTGCAAACTTTTAGGTTTTCTTGTAAACTTCTCTGCCGTATCGGGGTTGTAGCTCTCTGTTGTTAAAATAAACTCGACGATTTTGTTGGTCCCTAATGTTTATCAGTGAAAAATACTACGAAAAACTAAATTTACTACTGATTCTTATTCATACCGTTACCTATTACCTGGTAAATTGAAATGAATGAAGGCCGTGGAAACACCAGGAAACTTACAATTTCGTCGCAGTATGGTTTTGTGACAGATCCATGATAGCGGTAGAACCTTTTTGTATGTCTAGGTAGATAATGAGAAAGAGTTATTTTCCTTTCCAAAGAAACGGGGTGCTGTGTTTTATTTTCAATTTGGGGGATACTTCTAATCAAATTATTAAAAATGGGATTATGCTTATGCAATGATAACTAAAAAAATTTAAATAATCCAATTATTACCAATTGTTAGGTTTGGAACTATGTACAAACCCCGTAAAATGAAACAAGAATAATAAACCCATCTTCATGAGGAATGGCATCTCCGACGCTTCCGTATTTTGAATTATAAAAGATCATAGCAAGTTCCAGAGGATATCTTTAAGAAAATTTGTTTCGTTCGTTTCTCAGTACAACTGAAATTTAAACTAACCTTCTAAAATTTACAACATGTTCAGAAGGCCAACGAAACTGAAACTGAAGAAATGTGTAGTTGTCTTTTAATCCCCCTTGAGATATCTGTGGCTTCACCGACATATCGTCCAATAGAATTCCAACTTCAAATCAAACACGTTAATAGTTTGTCATTTTTAACATAGGTATAATACACCTGTATAATCGTCATTCACAATTTTTGCTGGATAACTAGCATAAAATTTATCATCAAACTGTAGATCGTTGTAGCTTACAGGCGTAGTCTTCTTGTCCGTGATCCATATAGGCGCTTGTCTTTTCCCATTTTTGCAATAAGTTTCAGGCCAGTTAGCTAAAAATACAACTATATTTCTTTATCGAGCAGGTAAAGTGTGTACAAGAATTATATGAAGTCGACTTTCCGGCAACGAAACCTGATTTTGTTTGTGTGGCTAGATTAATCCTCAAAAAATAACTACTCAACGAAAAATAGTGGGGCCTTTATTATTGGAAGATAATGGCGACACATTTTTTTCATTAAAAATATCTTATTTAAAAGTGTCCCACATTTTTGCTTTTATACCGGGTGTCCCGGCGTACCCGTTCCACTCAAATATCTCAATTATTTTAGAATATAAAAAATTGAATTTGGTATGTACAAAATCTTTCTTAGCACAATGTTTTGGATTGTCTTCTATCTCGCCTACACTCTCCGTAAATAAGTATCATATCTAACTTTTTGGCATTAATGAATCTTTCGTTTTCCATTTTTTGACACAACAATGTTTATTTATTTTAATCCAGAAGGAACAAGCCAGAACACGAAAACAAGAGGAAACGTTGCATTTTTTTTTTAAATTCACAAGCGTTTTAAAGCTTCTCGATAAATACTGTTATACCGAGTCATATATCACTGAAAAGAGAAAAAATTTTCTCGTTTATAACACTACAAATTATATTCTTTTAGATTCAGAAAAAAAAGTCATTTTCGATTAAACTGAAACTAATACGATGCCAATAAACTCATTTAATAGATTGCATTGCATATCTTGAACATGCCTATGTTAAAATTTTTATGTTTTAAAATAATTGAAATATTTGAGGGCAACAGCAACGCTGGGACACCCGGTATATGTCACTTTTGGACATTTATTAGTGTGGTTTAAATACCTACTGACATGTTAAATCCTTTCCAAAGATTACTTGATCATAAGTAATGTTGATCGCCCGATATAACAGTGGATAAACACTACACTGATTAGGATTATACAAAATTTGAGACCAGCATCAAATTAAAATAAGACAAAAATTATGAATAGGTTGTGAACTTTACAAGCCATTTTGTAAATTATGATATGAATGTACAATGGTCCTGTATTAATTGTTAACTTACATTGGTTCCAATAATTCCAATCTATTGGGTTTTCTGAAAAACAATAAAAACTAATAACTTACATATTCGTTTTCAATCAGATATCAAATGCAAAGTTGTTCTTACTATTATTCTTACCTGTCAGAGGGGTTTTTACTACTGGTTCGGCCACCGTCATTTTGTTTAACAAAAAAATACCTAAGAGTGAGAAATAATTAGTTTTTTTCTCTAATAATAATATTAATAATAACAATATATTTACACTAAACATCCCAAACGCTTAAGTTTAAAATGCAATATAAATCTCCAGAATTGAAACTTATAAATTCACAGTAAATAAAATGCTTACATTTCTTGTGTTTGTGTATTATTATTACTATATTGTTAATGATGACTCACGAAAATTTAAAACTGTAGTTATTCTTATGGCTCTTCCTTGTTTAGATTTTAAATAATCTACGACTTATGACGAAATGACCTCAAGCTAGTAAATCGTAGGGCGTATACAACAAAGTACTTCATTTTATTAAATCTTGGTGGTAATATGTTTTTACAATGCATACTCAAACGCCGCCCCGGTGTAACGCCGATAGCTTTTCTAGTATGTGCGGAGATGACAGGCGACTCATTCATCATCGGTGACGGCGGCGTTCGAATAAAGAAAAGCCTAGAAGCGTTTTGCAGGAAGTCTCGATGGCAGACGCCGTTTTAATTACCGATCATCGTAACAATATCATACTCCGTGCAGGAACTATCTCAGTTTTGAAGCAATGTCACATATATTGGAAAGAAGCAAATTTTCGCGGGCCGGATAGACTCATCATATTTTGCACATTTAAGATATGATTTATTCAGCAATATTTTATTAGCTTTTTTTCCCCTAAATTTAGAAAAACACAGCGTCCGACGGCGTTTATTCAAGTAAAGTGGAAACATTAAATTTATTGTTTACAAGAGACTGTAGAAAAATATCGAACTTACCACTTTTCGCCACTATCTCTAAAGGAACTATTATTTTCTGAGCAGGTGGTTGACAAATTAAACTCGAATTTTGTTCAATTCTTAACATTTCTAATTCTTGATTTTATAGTCAGATTTTTAAACTTTATCTGCATTCCTTTTAAGTATGTGTTTTTTTTTGCATTTATGGTCCTCATTAAAATTACTATTATTACTTATGATTTGTTCTTAGAGAGTGAAACTAGAAAAACTGGGGACCTTAAAGTTTATACTAAAATCATAAAAAGTACTTTAAATAAGAAAGACGCTGCAAACATGCCTAGATAGAACTCTGTTTCGCCTAAAATACACAAAAATTAATGTTACTTACATGTTAAAAACACAAGGTAAAAACTACTCATATCTCAAAAAATGTTATGTACACAGGTGAGTAACAAAAATGCTATAGTTGTACTGTGTTACCTACCGTATTTATAAGATCGAAAATATTGGGTCATTTTAGTACCATATAATTAAAAAAAGTATTCCCTTATCTGTAGATAAAGTAAACGCACCTTTATCTAGCATATACATAAATACTGTCCATTACCTAAAATTTATACCTTATGTTAAAAAAAATGTGAAGAAATACAATGGGCAAAAAATGCTGATAAGCTTCTAGTGTAAAATGAAAAAAAAGAGTATATATTTCATTTAGTATTTTTGTATTTGAAAGTAAACCCAATTTTTTATTACCTACAAATTCTAAAAGAGGATAAAAATACTTCCATCGCCCTTATAGACTACACTCAGATAGATTCAGCTTTTTTAGACAAATTATGAAATCTGATTGTGCGAATTTTCTTTATTTTTTATGATAATCCTTATAAATTAAGCTAAAGATAGTTATGAATTGTTAAGCTAAGGCTTACTGGATACGTTCGCAGTCTTTAATCAAAAATGTTGGAATTTGATCAGCCCCGGAAAGTAATAATTTTTTAATTTCTTAATAACCACAAATATTTCATTCTCGGATATTAATGAAATATCAATGTTACAATTATTTTGATTTACACCGATATTTTGATACCTTTGTTCACCATCCGCAAAGTTCCCACAAAAATATTGAGCAAAAATATTCACTATTAGTTGAGAATCATTTAATTCAGACCCTTTAAATTTCATATTAGCTGGAAGTCTTGTAGTATTCTTCTCTTTCCGACAGTGCCGAAACCAAAGAATATTTAGGTATAGGCGAAACACCCCCCCCCCCCCCCCCCCCCCCCCAATTTTACAGAACAGTTTTATTTATATTTTTTAAGTATGCAAAACAGATACTATGATAAAATATAAAAAAAGAAAAAAAAAATCGAGATTATACATGTAGATATATAATATGTATAAATCTAAAATCTATAAATATTATGTAAGTTCAAAATAAAATTAACATTCAAAAACCTGTCGCACCGGTTACATGTTTCTGAGCTTCGATTCAAAAAAAAAAAAAATAAAAATTAATATGACATAATTCTTAGTATAGTTTTGGAAATTTCATTCTACCCTATATAATTTTATTGACGCTAAGTAGACGGACAGTAGTACAATGGTAAGAAATATTTATGGCTCACACCAGTTCACTGGAATTTGTCTGAGAACATTTGGCAGGTAGTTATACTCATAAGATAATGGTCATTTCCGTTCAAAAGTAACGATGGTCCCTGCTAGGACCTCGATTATTCTGGTTTCCATCATCTGGGGATTACCGGCACCCGAGAACTTAAGTTGTAAATATCTCTTGCTATTGTACTACTGTCCGTCTCGTTATTGCCAATAAAATTTTATAGGGTACAATGAAATTTCCAAAACTATACAACATAATTTTTGGACGAATTTGGCGCCCCTTGTCGTTGGCGCCCCTAGGCAAGGGCCTACTTGGCCTATAGCTAGTTTCGGCACTGCTTTCCGAATATACGACCATAATTCATTTGAATTGTTTATTATTGACACCTGGATCTTTATTAAGTAAGTATTGAAGTCTAAAATCTTCTGATGTTTTATCATGGCGGATGATGTTCATCCGAAATTACAGGGGAAGAATCCAGGGGCGTAACAGCCACATTTGTTACGTTGGATAATTCAAAATACTTCATTAAATTGAGTGAGATTTGTTTGTTTTCCACAAATCTAGTCATCCCAAGCATGTTAATGCACCATAAGTATCGAAGTTACTTTATAAAATTTACGTAGGATGTTGGGAAATTTTATTTAGTAAAAATGTTTGCCACTGCACTTTCAAACCAAAATTTAAGGGCATGTCCTTACCCAACGGTTGGTTACTGTTGTTCTTGTCCATTATGTGCATTTCTTATGGGCGTTTCAAAAGCTGTACTTACTATATGGTATACTGTGGCTTAACAATGCATTCATAATATTCTATTATTATTTTTACATAATATGATACATCAACCAACACCAACGCATTGGATGAACTAAAGTATGATACATACATGAATGTAGAAAAAAGGTTCTACAGGAATCTGAAATAAAACTCCCGCAAAGAATTCGGCCATTAAGCACGTACAGATGTTGCTTGGCCGGAATAAGCGGTGGTGGCAGACAAAAAGTACATACGCATCTGTTTAAAAAGAAAATGAACTGTGACTCATTTTTTAAATTTGCATATACGGGGAGCCACAAAAAAATTAATGACTGACTCAATTGATTTTATTCATTAAATCAAGATTTGCAAAACTGAATATTTTTAAACCTTGTACACGTTTTGAAGTTATTGTAAGCATGCAAACATTTTAATCAAAATGTATCTGTTTATCAACCCCAAAAAATTGATTACGTCATCTCAAAATTTTGTCGAATAAATCCTTTCGAAAATGTGCAAAATATGATCAGACTATACTTGTAATTTATTCATATTTTTTAGATCTGCTTATACAGGCTGACTCAAAAAAATTAATGAATCAGTCAAGTTATTATTGATCAAATTACGAACGAGCCGTAACTGCCAGAGTGAAAGCGAATTTATTGAAATATCCCGTCACAGAACTCGAATGAGAAGAATCTATGATATTGTGGTTCCGGTGAGAGATTGGGATTTCTTGACAGTTGACATGTAAGTTGGCAGTAACCTAACACTATAAAATACACTGAAATTCCTACGCTGTTACTCACAGCTGGCTGTCATTGTCTCTGTTACAAATGTAAAACTACTGAAAGTTCCATTACTAAGGTTAGGCCACTTTTTTGACTCTCATCTCCAGTGCATCTTTAAAGGTACGTGTCCACTTGAGAGGGCGCTTGCGAGAAATAATTTCAAAATCAGCACGTAAAGCGACTCTCACAATACGAGCGTCTTTCGTAGTGCGACAATGATCTCCGATAAGTCTGTTTTACGTAAATTTTTTTGGTAATAACTCAATTAATTGCAATAATAGACCTCTGAAATTTGAAATGACAACTTAAAGACCAAAGATGGTATAAAATCAAAACCAGAACTCTCGTGAGAGTTGCTCTCCAGTGGACACGTACCCTACAGATGAATGTTGAAACAATTTTCAGGAGAAGACATTGGTATAATGATAATAGTCATCGTTCTTTGTTATTAACGGACACCACAAAAATTCTCGAGTAATAGAAAACTTATGTTTTGTAGCACTTAAGATTACAATGATTTTGAAATTTCAAATTTTCGCGCGGATGGTACACTTTTCTTCGCGTAGATTTAGTGACTTCTCTGTCACTCAATCTCTCACCGTACGCAGTATAGATAGACATAAAGACACGGTTCTGAAAGCGAGGGAAGTACTGTCTAAACTGTTTAGACTAATTTTTTATTTAATATTATTTAAAAGGTCTTCAACCTTGAAAACAAAATTAAATTTACCGAATTTTAACGACGTACACCGAAAGGTGATGACGAAATCCTAATAAAAACATTTGGCAACATTGTGCAAGCGCATGCGCATCATGACTAAATAGAATTTGTTGTGGCGTTCTGATGTCCGTTAATGTCGGGATTGTTGGCTGTGATGGCGTCGTGGACTGTGTTGAAAACGGGTGTTAGAAATGGAAAACGTGGATTGACTTAATTTTTAAGTGTTTTCGGGACTCTTCTTGTTTGGTTCTCATTATGTGTGTAACTAAAACCGTTTAAAGTCGGGGTTTTAATACAGCTGGTCCAGTTTACCTTGGAAAATTCTGATCACGTGTTCTTTGTTGTTTTTG